ATTACTCAGCTTCAGTGCAATATGAATGAGAAGGAGTGTACAAGATAAAACATTGTTCAGATTTTCAGATAAAAGATTGTTCAGAATGAATGTTGAATATGGATTTGAACGTACAGTAGGCTATGAAAATGGCCCTGTGGTCACTCAGATACAGTATAAGAAAGTTGGCAACCATTCTCAATAGATGAATGTCCCTTAGAAGAATTAACATATACATTTACATTCTGAAATGTGTTTTAGACTACTCTTCATAACAGTCAAAAATGCTGTACAGAAATTCTATTTTGTACATTTCTAGTATAGAAAACCTTGAAAATCCCCCCGCCCCATTTCTGTCAGAGACACTTGATTTGGTTGTGGTAGCTCATGATATCTGTGATCATATTGGCTGTTACTGTAGTTTGGCTTACAAAGAAATTGAAATTAAAGAAGAATGTTATATTCGAATTTCTTCTGCACCTTTGTGAAGGTGGATGCTACATATTGGTGGTGGTGGAGGGGGGTCCCCATTACCTGTAAAGCGCTTTGAGTGGAGTGTCCAGAAAAGCGCTATATAAGTGTAAGCAATTATTATTATTATTATTAATTAGACAGTCATTAATAAACTCTTTATTATCTTTGTAAATTAAATGCTGCCCTTTTATTGACTGGCGTCCTGTCTGGGGTGTTTCCTCCAGCTCCAACCCTGACCTGGAAGAAGAGGTTTAATATCCAGAGCTCACACTTTTGAATTTGAGTGAAAGTCTATGGTTATAAGATCAAAAACCTATTGTGGAGAAATAAGATGAGGAAATTGTCTACAATTTTTTTAGAATATTTAATAATGTAATGTACAGTATCACTGACAAGGATTTTACAATACTGTAAAGAATTCAGCTTCTGGGATGATACTCCTCATTAATAATTGCGACTGTAGCTCTTATAATATGATATTGTTACAAAGCTCTGTGAAGCTTTTCTGTAATGAATAAACTCCTTTTCAAAACGAGCAAATTTGCTCATTACTTAAGGACTTTAAGTAAGTTGACTTTTTCAAATTGCAGTGGATGTGAGCCCAGGACAGGATATTTGGGACAGAGATGCTGGGTTGTGTACAGTATGATGGGCAGGGGGTTTCTGTAAGGACACCAAGCCTTGGTCTCTGATGGCAGACGTGTTAGCATCCAGTTCCTGCCAGAAAGCACCCCTAATTCATCATGGGCCATTCTATAATGGTCTGTAAATGGAGATACTGTAAGTGCAGATTTATTGGTGGAAATATAAGATGCTGCTTCTGTGAACTTCATCAAAGTTCAATTCTATTTTAACACTTTGTGCATTCATTTCCTTGGAGTCCATCCACTGTGAGTAGAGTGTAAGGGACATTGATAGCCTTAATAGCCTGAAAAATATGCTGAGACAATTTCTGATGATTGTTAGACATAAAAGTACAAAAGATAAAAAAAAAGTATCTAAAAAGTCTTAAAGTGAAATCATCTTAGTTTCAAAACGATAACCCAAAGCACTGTACAAAACATACAAAAGGTTGTTTTTGAAGATTGTAAGATGAGGCATATGGAAAATATGTACATTCCTAAAAATTGGAAAGGTTTTTTGTTATAGTAAATTTAAATAAATATAAATATTACGATAAGGAAATAGACATAGAAATCTTACAATTATGTATTGATTTTCAAGAATAAGACTGTTTAGGGGGGTTCTTTTTAACATGAACTAAAACAAATTAAATTATTAAAAAATCCAATTTCATAATGTATAGCTCATAAGGCAGAAAACAAATTACAAGCCATACAGTATATTGACGTCTTTTTACATACATCTACCATATGGACTTTTTTCACGTAGCACACTTGATGGCAGCAAAGTGCTGTTGAGGTTCCAGGTGTTTAAAACCGAGAAGGCAGCAGACCAAACAGGAAATTCAGCATTAAAAAATGTTATCACTCATCCGGGTATTGATCTATGACATGATGACTCGCTGAATCTCTCTTTCTTCATAGGGTGTACAGATAATTCAGACTATAAATCTAAATAACAAGCAAATGACCTACTATGAGCACCGAGTTAAATACAGACACAGAAGAAATGAAATTGGAGGGATTCTTGCCTCACACTGGACAAATGTAAAAGTATAGGAAAGGCATAAAGCATCACTTCTGTCTGATTTGCAGATCTTATAAACTGTATATGGCAGAGATAGATGACTCATAACTATCTACTGTATCAGTGTTTTTTTTTCTCTGCTCACTATCATTACATTGCTATAAAATAATAAGATGTATATAACATCAGAAAGATTACTTACAAGAGGAGGTCATTCGGTCCATTCAGCTCATTTGGTTGTAGGTAATGGATCTGGAGATTGCTCCCAGCTAATATTTGAAAGAAGCAAGGATGTCAGATAAATCATGGCTGAGTAGCCTGTTCCATATTCCCACAACTCTCTGTTTAAAGAATTCCCTCCTGTCTTCAGTTTTAAATGCACTTCCCTGTAGTTTGCATTTGTGTCCTCTGGTTTGTGCTTCACTGTGCATTCTAAAGAAAATGCTGCTGCATTTGTCTTTGATGCAAATAAGAAGTAATGCAAAGTGGAAATAAGTGTTTGGGTGGGTCACGTGTTCAACTCTGATTGAAGCCTTCAAAATCTCAGCTTGCCTAAATCAGGTATAATATGAATATTAAAGTCTTTATTAAA